CTTTAGACTTAAATACATATTTATCCCCCTCAAACCCTCTTACTTTCATATATATATTAATATTTTATATATATTTATATTTTTATACATATCGCCCACCTCTCCAACAGACCCTCTGCTAGTAAGGGCGATTTTAAAATAGGAGAAAAAGACCTTTTGGGAAAAAACGCTGCACTGGGTGGGGAGGTATAAATCCACTTATCAAATCTTCTCTATCCAATCAGATGATATAAATGAGATTTATGATGTGCAAGGATTGACGGCTATAAACAGATTAATCCCAATCTCAAAGCTTTTGGGTCCCCGGGGCTGCAAGGAGGCCAGCGCCTGCCTTGCCCTGAAGGAGGGTTCTTTTCCCCAAAGAACAAAATTCAGCGTGTTTTGCCCAAGTCCCTGTTAATGTTCAACAGGCCTTTACTGGAAACCAGCATTTTTCTAGTCGAATGTGTTTGCAAATATCTGCTTACTCAGCAGTTTGCTGCTGGCATCCCAGGGGCACGCCAGGCGTCTCCTACGTTAGCTGGTGGGCTGGCAAGGGTGAAATTCCATTTTTAACGAGCCATTTCTCTTCCTCTGTATAATCCAGCCTGTCTGATACACACCACATCCACAAATCCTTTGGAATGACCTTTGGAAAATGCTTCCTAAACTGCAAAATCCCTTCGGATGCCTCCCCGCAACACCAAGGAGCACTGAATTACTGTTACCCTTGTGTTTAACATGCGAACCCAGTGAATTGCTGCTGCCCTCGTGTTTAATATGTGAGCCCAGCAACAGCGAAGGGTTTTTCCATCCTGCCTGGGACGGAAAATCCCCTTGTGCCCAAAAATCCCCCCTGTGCACGCCAGGATGCTGGGGAGGGAGAGGAAAGCACGCCTGGCCAAGTGTGGGTGGGCTTTTCACAGCATCCTTGGATGCTTCCAATGTGTTTGCTGGTTAACGTTACAAGTAAGAAGAAAAAATTAAGGTTTGGGTCCTGAGTGGGGTTTTTTTTCAGCAACTAATGGGTCAGCTTCCTTAAGAGTCACCACCCAGCCCAGAGACGAGTTTAATGCCAGGAATTGATGATGGTCTCACGTGAGATATTACCCTTAACAGCACAAACAGGGAGAACAAACCCTTGTTTAAGCCTGATATTCCTCTGTTGTGTGTTAGCTCTGTGTTTACGGTCCATAAAAAGCAAATTAATCTCTCTTTGCCTTCAGATAACGATGCTCGTTCCTCCGTTTTTACATCCAGAAATGGTTGAATTAAGATCCTTTAATGTCAGTGTTTTGGTTGAGATCATTAGCAAGAGGCTTGATTAAAAGAGCAGGGGGGGATGCACGAGCCTGTCCCCTGTCATGAGGAGGAAAACCAGGTCTTGGGGGGAAAAAAAATTGGGTGCAGGCCCCCCACTTTGGAGCAGCTTTTCTGCCTCCCTCGCCCAGCAGCACCCACCCGCTGGGAGTGAGGATGAGGTCAGGGGGGTTAAAAATAGCCAAAAGACAGGGTAAAAACTTGGATGGGCAAACGCTCCTTGGGCACTCGATAAAAATAAAGGAAATAGAGGGGGAAAAAAGCAGCAAATTGGCAAATTTTTTGAAGATGCGACTCCCCGCGGCGGCAAAATCAGCCCCTGGATGAAAACAGGTTACAGCAAAGCCCCGGAGGATATTCCAGCCTGGCAGCACCGACCTGCTCCTCTAATTGCCTTCGCGGAGACGAGCTCTGATAAACAGGGCGAAGGCTCGTTTGCGTTTGCGCTGCTAATTACTGACCTCCTTGGGCAGCTGACCTCCTCCCCACAGAAATGCGGTCGCTGGCACAAACCCCCTGTGGGTGATAGGGACGAGGGAGCTGCTTTTTTGGGGTCAGAGCTGGCTTCCCTCTGCTTGGGAATAATATTTACAGTGTGATCATGAGAATATTATTAAATTACGTTATCGAATGGCTCCGCAGGTATTTTTCCCTGACTCTTTTTAACGTCCTTCTCCCACTTTTTCCTCCCTGTGGGTGAAGGTAGGCAGGCAGCAATGAGGAATTAATTTAGGTGATGTATATGGGAGTGATTTATATCCGTGCTTGCGTTGGAGGAAAGAAGGGAGCTCCTTCAGGGCCGAGGGGGAAGCGGAAAATGGAGGATGCGAGGAGGGATCGCAGGCAGCAATTACGTGCGCAGGGCTGGCGAGAAGGCGCCCTCGGGTTTGGAGAGGAAAACCAACACCCTGGTGCCAAAATAACTGCGGAAACAACCTTGTTAAGGTGCCCGAGGGGAGAGGAGAAGGGAAAGGAGGTGGGGAAGAGGAAGGTGGAAGAGCGATGCGGCGAGGAGGGTGGGAAGATGCTCAGGAACGGGGGTGTCCGGACCCTCCTGGTGATGCTCCTCCTGGCTCATGGGGGGGGGTAAAAAATCAGGAAAAATCCATGGGGAAGGGGGATGGGATGGAGGCTGGCAGTTTGTTTTCTGAAAATGCCACCTCTACTTTTAAGAAATCCACCCCCACCCCCTTTATTTTTAACCCCCCAAATAACGGGGGGAACAAAATCCTGCGCAGCTGGGAGCCAAGGAAACAAACAAACCCCTCCAGGTAGCTCGGGGGAGGAGGGGGAGAAAGAAATCTCCCACCAGGATCAGCTTTGAATCAGCCCTGAATAAACAAGCAGCGGGGAGAAGCAGAGCTCTGTCTTCTAAGGAGGACGCTCGCCTTCTGAGCTGAAAAATATCTATTTTTAGGCAGCGACGGCGGGGAGAGGAGGCAGCCCCCCATCCCCTGTGATGCTGCTGGGTGTTAAAAGCCCCCTCAGCTCTGGATTTCTCCCACCCGAAGCCCCCCGTGTCCCTTATTTCCCGACACTCACCGGCTAGGAGCCCGTTGCTTGCTCAGTTCGGGGTGATTCAGCCTCGGCCGCAGAGCGACGGGGAGGAATAAATAGCGAGAGGGAGGAGCTGGCTCCTGCGCAGCCCAGCCCTGCACAGCCTGGCCACCATCCATCCTCCTTCCCTAGGGAAAACCACAGCCAGCATCCCACAAAATTCAGCTTCACCCCCTATCATCCCTCCCAGATGATCCGGGCAACGGGAGGCAACACCGACGGCCAAAGGGGTGGCTGGAAAATGGCAGCGCTGGGATGGTTTATTCAAGAAATATCGATGGGATCAGCAGGGAGCTGGGGCTGGTTTGGAAAGCTTGGATGGTTTATTGAAGAAATATTGATGGGGCCATCAGGGATGGCTTGGAAATCTCGGGGGTCAAGGCTCTGGGCGAGGAAAGGATGCTTTTAGTAGTTGCTCCAAATCCATTATCCTGGGAAGCAGAGATGCTCTACGGGTTGATGGATACAAAATAAAATAGATTCAAGAGCTACAGGGGAAAGGATGAGTTTGTCTCTGAGTTTGTCTCGCTCTGGAGGAGTAAAACACTCCTGTGCAGAGCAGTTGTGTTTTGTGTTGAGGTACCCTGATACTCAATGGGAGCTGGGGATTTTGCAGAACCCCATTTCGGAGGGTAAGGGCATGTCTGGGTGTAGAGACCTAAAGACCAGAACAGGGACTTATTCCCATCTTTTAGAGTTAGGATGGGTTGTAATAAACGGGTTGAGCCCAGAGCAACCCAGGATGCTTGCATGGTGGTTGGGAGATGCAAATTAAGCTCGAAACTAATTGCACTGAGACTAATTTTGACACGGCCACGCAATATAGTCAAAACCCTACCCAGTTTCGCTGCCCAAAATAGGTGGGCCAGGTACAGCTGACCCAGTGATGTTCCCACCCCTGGATGGCTGAGCACATCTGGCCATAAAGAGGATTTCCACCCCAATGCTCCATACGTTTGTTTATCCATCTGGCCAGATTATGCTAAAAAAAAAAATAAAAAATAGTAATTTCTGTCTGGCAGGGAAATGGGATGCACTGGGTGCTTTAGCTGCGCTGGGGAGGCATCCATATTAATTTCTGGAGGAGAAAATTAAATAAGGGGGGCAGGATTAAGGTCAGCGAGCCTGTTGAAGCTCTCTCCTACAATACACAGGCGTATTTGTTCCTCATGTGGATGCACAGATGGCTCCTGATTCCCTGGCTTTGCTTTAAACACTCTTCATTGGGCTATGTAAAACCCAAAGCCAGGAAAAGAAAGACAGACAGCACTGGGAATGAGATGGTTGGGGTGAATTCATCCCTGCTTTGTAAAAATCAGAATTTTTCTACAATAATATATTTCAGAGGAAGCTCTGCTCTTGTTGGGGGAAATATAGAAACTCTGATGGATCCCAGCTGCAAATCAAGCAGGGGCAGCCTATCGACTACCAAATTAATTTTTAATTTATTGTGGAAGTTAGCAGTGTTAAAACCACCCAAACCAGTATATCCACGGGATCTATTTGACGGAGCCATGTGCCACATGGTTTCTTGGGGTAAAATTTCTCCCGGCAGCGAGCCAAGAGCTGCATCGATCTCCGCTGGAGGTTTGGCCCTTCTTCCTCTGCAGCTCAGGCAGCGATGGGGAATGGAGGAAATAATGGGACGCTAAGTGCGGCGGGGGTTGGTGCCAAGTTAGAAATCATTAATGGGATGGATTTTTCTCGTAACGAGTGGAAAACACTGACTTTGATTTAATGATGAGCTGGGAAAGGACCTGGGTTCATCTTACCCCGCTTCATTGCTCCTCATTGATTTCCTCTTCTTTTTTTTTTTTGCTTTAATTCATGCAAAACGTTTTTATTCACACAACTTGCTTGCAGAAGTAGCCACAGCTTACAAAGGCAGGAGAAGGTATCAAAATAGTTCATGGGAGATTTACAGGGGTTTTGGGGCAATTTGTTGGAGTTTGAAGATAGGGGTAAGTCCCACAGCCTGTCCCCATCCCCACATCACTCCCTGGAGCCGGCAAAAAATCTGGGCTCAAGCTCACCCCACCTCAAACCACACTTAGCTCATCGGGAAACCTCCTTAAACCCTCCAAAGGCAAAAAAAAGTGGAAATAAATGCTGTGTTTGGGGGGTTGATGAAATGTGCTTTGGAGAGCTTGGTTTATTCTCTGGTTTTACCACAGAATAGTCTCTTTTAAGTTAAAATGCTCTACTTTGGATTTTTCTTGGGAGCCAGATGTCTCGGTAATATTCGGCTCCTGCCTGGATGAGAGCAGAGAAAATGCAATTTGGGGAATAAACAGGGTGATGGCAGGGCAGGGAAGGAAAGTGCTGGGAGCACTTGCTTTCCAGCAAGAAAGGAAAGATGTGGCTTGGTCAGGCTGTTATTTTCCCACATCAGTGTGTAAATAAAAAGTCAAAGCTTTATTAGGATATTTGCATTTTCTTTGGAGGTGAGGGCTTCATTGCACGACTTGGGTAAAGCAAGGCCAGGGCTCGTGGCCCTGCAGACCCCATGAAAAGGCTGAGAGAAAGGAAATGTCATTTTTTTAGGCCTGTTTTTAGTAGAAGAAGGGATTTTCCATGCGCTGTGTAGAAATCTTTACCTGCACCGTTATTCTGTGTTAAACTGCAGGAGAGGAAAGTGCAGCTCATGGAAGGCATTTCTCCTTTGCTCTTGGAAACCATAAGTTTTCTTATAAAAAGAAGAAAAAAAAAAAGTTCAAAGGACTATATAAATTTTTAGGCTTTTGCTGGGGATGGAAGCAGCCCAGGAGGGAAAATGGCAGGAGCAGGACATTAAACACACACACACACTCCCAGAGGATCATCAGCGAGGAGTTACACAACCTGGGACGGTGGGGAGGAGAAGCCCCAGCCAGTCCCTAATCCCGGAGGCACGTAAGGGCATGAACAACGTGCCAGGAGAGGAACCACGGAGGGGGAAAAGCAAACAACCCAAACTTTCCAAGCGACACCTCACGCTGCTTCCAGGAGGGTTTTTTTTTTATTTTATTTTTTAAATTTTTTTTTTTTGTGTGGCCAGCTCTGTTGCAAAGCCAAGGAGCGCAAAGCACGGAAAAAATAAATCACTTTATGAGTGCTGTAGTAAACGAGACTCCTTTCAGCTGTGATGCTGGGGAGGAGCTTGTCCCCCCCACCCCGCGATGATCTGCTTTCCTCGCCGGTGATGGCTTTTTGTGACACGATCTATGGGCAGATGTGACTCACGGGGACCTGCCTGCGGGTAGGAGGCTCCGGCAGGGGACTGCTGAAAGGTGGTTTTTTGGTGGGGAGAAAGCAAGAAATAAGGCAAGTCTTTTTCTTGTTGTGTTTCAGAGACGAAGCTCAACCCTCGAGGAAGCAGATTGGATGATTTAATTTAATATGACTTTCTCTTCCACAGGGAGCATCAACTGAAATGTTAAATATTGGAGGCTGCAGGCACCCTCCTTCTCTTTACTTTTAGACAACTGTCTTTAAAAGGCTGTAAATGTTCATCCAGCTGCTCCAATCTGATTAGGAGTGTAATAACCTCTGCCCATGTGAGAGCTGCTATTCCGGGCAGGGACACACGTAAGCTCCTTATGGATGGGACCCTCCCTGGCCGCGGGCTGATGCCTTCCCAGTGAGATACTGCATCTTTGGGAGATAACCAGCGCTCAAAAATGTGCCTCCAACCCCTCCCAGGGTTGGCAGCATCACCCAGGTGCTGGAAGGTAAAATAACCGCTTTTATTTAAAAAAAAAAAAAATTAAAAAACTTAAAAAGACTTTTTTTTGGAAGTACTTTTTCATTTTGGAACAAGCGCTGATAATAAAAGTGAGTTGATGGATGAAAAAAAAAAAATTATCAAATTTGGGTATTTGAGCTTCCCTGCCTGCCTGCCCAAAAATAACCGCTTTTATTTAAAAAAAAAAAAAATTAAAAAACTTAAAAAGACTTTTTTTTGGAAGTACTTTTTCATTTTGGAACAAGCGCTGATAAAAAATTATCATTGATGGATGAAAAAAAAAAAATTATCAAATTTGGGTATTTGAGCTTCCCTGCCTGCCTGCCCACTGGATTAATTTATGGGAAATGGGAGAAGTAAGTCACGCTCGCTCGAGGAAGATGTTTGCTGTCCAATTTGGTTTCAGCCCAGCGTGGGGTTTAAAAATAACTTGTCCCAGTGCCTTGGGAGCAGCCACTGTGGGACAGGGAGAGTTTGTGCCTCCGGGGGGAACAATTCCCCGCTGTGTCCGGGGAGAAGCAAGGGGAAGAGCCATAACCCTTCGCAGAAAAATGTAACCCTTTGTTCTGTCCTTTCGTATCAATGAATCTCCTGTTTTTCAGACAGACAAAGACAACCCAGCGTTTGGGCTCCTTTAAAACACGATGTCCCTCCATAAAGCTGTGGGAACAAACACTTCCACTAAACTTCCCCGCGCGGTGCAATTAACCAGAAGCTGGCACCTTCGCAGGAAAAGCTGAATATCCGTATTTTTTTTTCCTCGCAGCAAGGCTTGTAATATATGACTCACTGAGAGGCTTTCCTTTGCCTCTCCCATTTATTTTTAACTTGCAATCCCCTCGGAAGACTTTCCGAGATCAGAGCAGCGGCGTAAGCGCGTTGCATGACATAACGTGGCTGCGCTGAGGTCACCTTCTTAAAAATAAACCCGGGCACACCCGGGATGGGCCAAGACGCTCCCATTCTCATCGTTTTTACATCAATCATCCGCGCCAGCCTCGGATCCCTCTTTTGGGAATTGCTCCTATCCCAAAAGACATCAGCGGTGTGCCAAGAACTTGTAGGAGCGTGCCGAAATCCCGGCTGACGTATTTCAATGTTGTGTTCCCCCAGAAAAGCCAACGGGCAGAAACATCTTTTTTTTTCAGAGGTTTGATGTATGGAGGGAAAATGCCACAGTCCTCGGGGGTCCCTGTGGATTCCAGGCTGGGTTGCGCTGGGAAAGGGGCAGGAAAAATCAGTTTTTCCGGTAGGAAAAAGGGGCTGTGGGGCAAGATGGGGTAAGCTGAACCCCGGGAAATACAGACAATTGTTTGATTTTTAGTAATAATAAAAAAGAAAAGAAAAACTGAAACAAGAACCAGGTTGGAGATGGAAAAGTATTTAAAAATGCTACATTTTTCTC